GAGGCAGACGCAGGGTAAGTTCAAGGCCAGTCTGGGCTACTGAGTAAGTTCAAGGCCAGCCAGGAACCTCAGCAAGACTCTGTCTCAAAATAAAAAACAAAATGAAGAAGGGATAGGGCATACACCATTATTTTCCTCAAGTGCTAAGATACACTGCTTAGCCCTTTGAGTCCCTTTGCCATCTGCCATCAGGGATTCCCCTTTCTTATGGGTCTTTTGCTAAAACAGAGCTTGACACAGGGCCTCATAGAGCTGGCTGAGAGAAAGGCTGTTCCTGGGCTTCCTGGGTCTCAGGAGCCTTGTGAGCAGTCCTGCTAAGATCTACTGTCTGAGTTAGATGAGGAGATGTAGAAGTCACTAAGTAGGGAGACCTTGCTTAGTGCCAAGCAGCCCTGTGACCTGTGCCCCCCCTCCCGAAACCCCAAGGCCCATCCATATCTTGAGTAGAATTCTAGACTATCTCAGCCTCTTTTCTTTAAGTAGCTTCCCATTGTCCCCAAGGACCAGAGGCACTGCTGCTGGAGGGTGTGATTTGTAAGGGCCGCATAGAGCAAACAGGGGCTGAGCAGTGGTGGGGCTACGTGGGAGACCTGAGCCAGAAACACATGGTCCAAACAGGGACTCCACCTCTATTACTTTAGACCCATCAGGATCAATTTCCTCCCCTGCTGAATGCAGACCCACCAATGAAGATTGAGTGCACGGTGTTAGTGTGGCAGCATGATGGCTGTGCGAAGCTTGCCTTTTCATCTTGGGCTCTTAACGTATTTTCTCAGTACTAGGTATCAAATAAGGCCTCACAGGGTGAGGCAAGGGCTCTACCCCTGAGTTATATTCTCTGAACCTTGGAATGGTTTTGATATGAATACTGTAGAGACTGATAAATGGATCGGTAGACAAACTCTCAAACCATGCTAAGACCCATCTGGGCTTTCAGAGGAATCTGATCTGGGTAGGACAGGTGCTGCCTAAGGGGTGCAGGAGTACGCAATTGAGCTGTGAGCAGGGAAGGAAAGCTCAGTGGGCAGCTTTCTGCCCACAAACATGCTTCTGAATTTTTCTCCATTCACTGAATAATTAGGGATGGGTATTCTTTTATTGAGTCTACTGGGAGAGTCCAAGAAAAGATAAGACATAGGTGGTTCTATGTTGTCCTTGAGAAACCCTCTGGCTTATGTGGAGGGCAGAGATCATTCAGTCAACAGACAACCACTTGTGAAATGCTCTGACAGAGGCCCAGAGTGGATTAGCCACAGTCCCTGCTCTCCAGATGCTGGAGAGACGATCCCCAGCACACCAGGCTCGATTCTTCACGAGAGGAAATTACCATTGTGCCAGCTGCTTGTGTGGGAACTGAGGAAACAGCCAAGTGGTCAGGGCTGAGGAGGCTAAGTTAGGGGAGACTTCGGGAGGAGGAAGGAGCTAGTCTGGAGAACCAGGGGGCCATGCAGAGGTGTGGGTGACCCCCGTGGGACATGCAGAACAGAGGATAGGCTCAAGAGGGTGACACACGATGAGGTAAACGGAAGGGCGGTTGGTAGAGGGACTGGAGCCAGGGAGAAGATGGATTCTCCCCGGAACCCCTTCTAGCCAGGCAGCTGTACCCTGCTGTGCACCTGGTGTCAAATCAGCTGCTTACTATTCTCCCCTTGCTTTACTCAGGCATTTTGTCGGGTCAACATCAGAGTGAATATGAGCCATAAGCCCTGGGCAGGGACAAGAGCAGGTGCCACAATTAGATAAGGGCACAGATAAGTTCTGACAGTTGTGAGAGACTAGTCACTCGCTTTTGCTGACTTTAACCTAGTCCGGAAAGCAAGGAACCTAGGCCTGACTGGTCTCTTCCCTAGCTTTGTGTCTGCATTAAAGCCCGCCCACGCCGGGACGTGCTGGGCCTCCTGGGAGCCAAGCCTGGCAGAGTCAGATAAATATTGATTGTCTGCTCAGCCATCCGTGCAGAGAACCAGAGAGGCTGGGCAGGAGGGGGAGCCTATCAGGCGGTCCTGATGTGAGGGAGTTGGGCGGGGCCAAAGCCTGAGAGGAGCGGCAGGTGTCCTAGGGCGGTGAGCACCCACCCTGAGGATCTGGAGCTGTTGTCAGCTGCCCAGGGTGCATGGAGCATTCGCATGAGCAGCGGCTCCAGCAGAATTGTCTCTAAACTAAGGAAGGCCTAGAGGCCGTCGGACTATCTTCAATATCTCCTTGTATAGCTGCACCATTCATGACAGTTCCGTCTGGTGACTTGAGAGGTCATGGGACCCTACCCCAGCCTCAAGAAAGACTTCAGTTATCCCCTGGAGTCGGGAGCTGCCCGAGTGAGCGTGAGAAGCTCCCAAGAGGGATTCCCAAACTGAGAATAGGGGTGCATGCCCGTTTTTCCAGCATTTGGGAGGTGGAGCTAAGATCCTCGTGAGTTTGTGGCCATCGTAGGCTGGCGACACAGTGAACATTGGGCTACAGAGTGAGACCTTGGTTCCAAAAATACAAGCCCAACGAAACACCCAATAATAAAAACATGTGTATTCGGGATGGTAGAAATTGGGGCGTGGTGGCACAAACCTGTAATCTCAGGATTTGGGAGGCCAACAAAGAATGGAATCTACACGCCAGTCTTGGTTCCCAAGTACCCAGGACGAGGCAGACTCTACCTTGTTGTTTTCCCTTCTCGAGCCAAGGGAGGGCGTTCTTTCCTTAATTCAGATAAAGCATCCTAAGTGTGAGGAGGGAACATCTGGTATGGCTCTGGGCACTGTCCTAGCAGCATTCTTCAAGCCTCCTTCAATGTTCTCTGCTCCTTTCCTATAATCCCTGTACCTCCATTTCTATCACCAACCCCATTCACCCCACAGGCTGAGCCTCCAGGCATGGGGTGGGGTGGGAGGTGAGTGGGGTGAGGTGGTCCAGTTTTGGGCTTTGGGGAGAGAAGTGGTGAAGATGACCTGCCCACTCTGCTGGGTTTTGTTTTGTTTTCATTTTTATTGTTTATTCCCAAACAAACACTTTATGAAGGGGACTAAGAACTAGCTAAGATTGCCCTTAGAAACTGTCCTCCCCACCACCAGGGTCCCACATATGCAAGGCAAGCACTCTGTCACTGAGCTACACCCCCACACACTGAACATTTTAAGAGGCTAAGCTGCCAGGAGTGGTGGTACACACTTTCTGTCTCAGCAGCTCAGGGGACTGAGGTGGATTAAGCTCCAGCTGTTCAAGGTTAAAATGGGCAACCTAGTACCTCTGTCTCAGAATAGAAAGAAAAGGAGAAGCCACGGCTGGCCTGGAAATCTCTGCAGACAAGACTGGCCTCAAACTTGCAAATAGTCCTCTTGCTTCAGCCCATCGAGTTCTGGGATTATAGGTGTTGTTATCATGCCAGGCACCTTGATATTTTAATTTTAAGGCTGAGTCTTGCTAAGCTGCCCAGAGAAGCTTTGAAATTTCTTTTTTCTTCACTTATAAAACATTTTTATTTAAAGACTTAGAAGTGTGTGTGTGTGTGTGTGTGTGTGTGTGTGTGTGTGTGTGGGTGTGTGTGTGTGTGTGGGTGTGTGTGTGTGTGTGTGTGTGTGTGTGTGTGTGTGTGTGCAACATGACACACATGTGGAGGCCAGAGGACAACTTATAGGAGCTGATCCTCTCATTCTACCATATGGGTCTTGGGAATTGAACTAAGGTCCTCAGGTTTGCTAGCAAATGCCTTCCTTTACCCATGAAACCATCTTTCCAGCCCACATATCATACATTTTAAAAGTCTGCTCTTGGGGACCAGAGAGATAGCTTGGAGTTTAAAGGCATTTGTTCTTACAGAGGATTGGGGGTTCAATTCCCAGCACCCATATGGTGGCTCACAACCCCCTACAGTTCTAGTTGCAGGGGATCCATCTGCCTTGTCTGACCTCTGTGGGCACTGCAGATACATGGTACACATGCATACATGCAGACAAAGCACTCACACATAAAATAAAGGTAAATTAATATCTACAACCGTTGCTTTGGTTTTATGCATTGTGAGTAAGGTTGTGATATAGCAGGGAATTCCTTTCATTCAAAATTTCTCTGGCTTCCTACCCACATCCAGAAGTTCAGTGACTAAGATGGAAATCACCAGGTTAGTACCACCCTCTTTTCTTCCCATCCCTCTCCTAGCTCATCTGGGGCTGGCAGAACAGGGCTGTCAGATCTCTGTAAGCACACTAGGGTGGGGAGACCATTAGCCTATAGGGAGTGGGCAAACACACACCTAGCATCCCAGGTCACTATGGTCATCTCATATGTCTCTTTCTGAAGAGGACTTGTTTGACCTGCATGATCTAGGACAGGACTCTGGCTTTTGGAGGCTCTTGGTCCTCAACATGTAGCAGCTTCATAAAGCAGAGGCCAGAGGCCTGGATCTGTGGTCATGGACTTTTCCTCTCTTCCCTTGGGGAAGAGGTCTGGCCCAGAGCCCAATATTTGTGGGTTTTCGGCTATTAAGCCAGACAGGGCTGGAGTCAGTGACCAAGAACAGTGGTCTGACAGGCACTCACATGTATTTTTTCCTCTGTTTCTGTCTAAGCATTCTCCACGGAAGGATGTGTCACCACATTGGAGTCGTTTTGGGGAGCGGTAGTTAGTGTTTTATGGATGTGTCTCTCTTGGACCTGTCTACCCTTCTAGAATAGAAACTTCCTAAGTGCAGCATGGTGTCTCTAGCATGAAGTCCTCTAAGGACTGCTTACCTCCTCCCTGTGTCATATTTTCGTCTCTGTGTGTCCCACCTTCAGAACTGAGTATGCATGCTGTGTCCCTTGGCTAATTGTTGGTGAGAACACTGGGCAAAACCATCAGCCTCTTTCTCCAGATTCTCCAAGGCACTTTATGAAGACCTTTCTTCAGGGGCAAAGACATCTGTGACACCAGAGGAGAAAACAATCCCCTTTCCCATGCACCGGAGTTGGGAACCCCTGGGAAATCAAGCATTTGGGCCAGACACACAAATCACAAACCTGGAAATGGTGAAGTCAAGCTTCAAAAGCACAGGGCTTTTATCTCTGGCCATCAGCTTGGCCCCCACTCCCATTTGATGGAATTTCAGCAACTTGGAAAAATAGCTCAATGCATCAAAAAGAGGCACAGAAGCATCCTCACCAGACCCTGGCTGGTGGTTTTAGCAGCTCTCGCTCCTACTGATGAATAATTCAGTTTGTCTGTGTAGTGAGACAGGTCAGACAAGGGCTGTGTGTGTGAGAGAGAGCCGCTGCTCTAACCCAGGCAAGTTTCCAAACACTCCAAAGGGAGATAAAACACCAGACTTGAGAAGTGGGAGTGGTGCTGAAGGCAGGCAGGGAAGGCTGGGGGAGGGTCTTCAGGGATGGCGAGTGAGCTACAGAGGAGCCCCAGGAGGATGGGTCACTTCTTGCTAAAATCAGGAGTGAGATCACAAGGTCGTGGTGGTGACAGGAGTGGCAGTAGGTTGACTGGGTAGCTGGATCACAGGTAGGAAGGCCCGTCATTGAAAAGGATGGAGACTCTGAAAAGCAAAAAGGAAATGAAAGAGGCCCAACTGAGCAGTGCAAGGAGGGTTGGTTGACTGGCCACTCGGTCTTTAGCTCCTAAGAGTGACGGTTAGCCTTTATAGGAGGCTTTACAGGGGTTGGAATTCAGAAAGAAGGGAGGCAAATTGGTGCTGAGGAGAATGGGGAAGGACAGCAGGGAAGGGATAGACACAGCCGGGAATCCAGTGAGACACCGAAGGTGTATTTGGGTGCCTTGGAGAAGTTCTGATGCCCTATCTTTCTACCGCAGACTCAGCCCTTGGGAGAGGCAGCACCGGCAGGCAAGATCCTTCTTCATGTCTTTATTTGGCACAACTGATGTCAGAGCTGGGTGGCCTCTGTGAAGGAAAGATGGGGCATTCGCTGTACAGTCATGTACAGTGTGATGGAGGCTTGGATAATGAGGGCTGCATATAGGAGAAGTTCCACAAGGCTATGGTAGAAAGAGCCCTGATGCTTAGAAAGGTCACAGCATAGTGCATGCTCGTGCTTGTGATGATGCAGGTCTGTGCAAACCTCCCAGGCTGCCAATTGGACACAAGTACAGCAGTTCAGCCATGTATAGTAGTACACTTGGTAGCAACAGCTGACTCTTGACCATGGTGTAGTCACTCTCCTTTTTTTTTTTTTTTTTTTTTTTTTTTTTTTTGGTTTTTCGAGACAGGGTTTCTCTGACACTCTCCTATTTTTTGTTTGTTTGGTTGGTTATGAAGTGGTGTCTTTGAGAGCTCAGACTGGCTTCCCTACTGTAGTCAAGGATGACCTTGAATTTCTGATCCTCCTGAGTTTAGGGCTACATGTGTGAGCTGGTTTGTATGGCATTGGGGATTGGGCCTCGTACATGCTAGGCAAGCACTCTGCCAAGTGAGTTATATCTCCAGCCCCGCTTTTGTTTGTTGAGATGGAATCCGATCCTATAGCTCAGGCTGGCTCTGAACACTCAATCGTCTTGCTTTAGTGTCTTGAATGTTGGGATTACACAGATGTACCATCATGTACTTTATTTTCTTTCTTTTTTTGTCCAAGGCAGAGTTTCTCTGTGTAGCCCTGGCTGTCCTAGAACTTGCTCTGTAGACCAGGCTGGCCTCGAACTCACAGAGATCCACCTGCCTCTGCCTCCTGAGTGCTGGGATTAAAGGTTGTGCCATCACATATATTTCATTGCTTAAAAGCATAAAAGAAGCCATGTTTTGGGGGCATAGTGGCAGACATCTTCTATCCCAGTAGTCAGGAGGCTGAGACCAGAGAATAGTAGCAGTTCAAGGCCAGTTTAAGCTGCCTGGTGAGTTCAAGATTAGTCTGGAGGCTGGAGAAATTGCTCAGCAGTTAAGAGCATGTGCTGGTCTTGCAGAGGACTTGGGTTTGGTTCTGGGACTCCTCCCCACCCCCAATACTGGGGATTGAGCTTAGGGCCTCTCACATATTAAGCAAGTGCTCTTCCGCTGAGCTATATTCCCAAGCCAGGACCTGGATTTGGTTCTCAGCCATCATATCAGGTGTCTCACAACCTCTTGCAATTCCAGGGTATCAGAGGCCTTCTTTTGGTCTTTATGAGATGCCATACATGTGTGCAAACACACACACACACACACACACACACACACACACACAAATCTTGGAAGGAAGGATTAGCTGGGGCTGTATAGTTAGACTCTGTCTCAAAAAATACTACTAGCAGAGACCTTGTGAAGCAACTGACTTATACTTAGGTTTGTGTAAATACACTCTATGATGTTCCCACAGTGAGTAAATCTGCATTTCTCAGAACACAGTCCTGTTGTTCAATTGGCATGACTCTACCTAAAAAACAACCCTTTCCTCCTTCCCGCCCTCCCTCCCTTCCTTTCTTTTGGTGGACTTAAAGACTCCTTCCAGATCAGTGTGTGTGAATGTCTGACTTCATGGAGGAGAGACCCATTAGTGACAAATGAGGGGCAGATAAGGATGGGGAGCCACTAAAACCAGGGCCTGTAATCAGGAACCAGGATCTAAGATAGGTGCATTGAGGTCCCTGGCATTATGTCTGAGGCCTGTGAAATGAGGCCTTTGGAACCGCAGCCAGAAGGCCAGGATGAGGGAGCTAGCTAGACATGGCCACCTTCCTCACCCCTTATCTCAGCTTGTTCCTGGCAGACAAGACCTGGCTTGCCTTTTCCAAAGTCATCTAGAGCAGGGGCATGCTCAGAATTTAATGGGGTGAGAGAATTCCAAGGGATGATGCCTCCCCTTTCCCAGCAGAGGGCAAGTTATGTGGCTTTCTGAGCTGAAGCCAGAAGAGCAGAGCCAAGCTCCTACAATTTGAATTTTTATGAATCTTATTACTACAGGGGTGTTATAAATGATTAATAAAGCATCTGGATTGTCCAGTGGAGACAAGGGAGGGAAGAAGATTAATATGTCTTGGGAACGATATGCATCGGGGTTTCTGGAATGCTCACATACATTATCTCACAGTTTAACCTGGTGGAGTTAACCCCTGGCTTCCCACAGCTTCTCCTTTATCTCTGCTCCATCTGGGCCTTTGTAAGAAAGGCTGAATTCCCCTATTAGTTTTTGTTCCCAAGAGCTGTCTGGGAGCTGTCCCAACATGGGTCGTACTGGAGAAAACGGTCAGCTGGAGGCTTAAGGGAACAAGCCTGGAGGAGGAAGAAGAAGAGGATGAGGAGAAAGAGGGCAAGGAGGGAGAACTGATAAGAGACACCATGACACTTTCTCTGTCATCTTTCCCATCAGCCCAGGGATCTTTACTCTTCTTTTTTCTTTCTCATTGTTTATTTTTTACTTTTCAAATTTCATTTCCCTTACTTGCTGTGGTGCTGCGAGGACAGAACCCAGGACCTTGCAGATGGTACGCAGGCACTCCACCGCTGAGCTACAGCCTCTGTTCTTACTTTCATGGTTGGCAGACCCTCTAATCAGCAGTTGTCACTCCAATTCTCTCCTCCCCAAGGTGCAGCTGGGAGAGTGGCGGTCCAGGCCTCGCCCTGGATCTGCCAGCCTCTCTTACTTTCTCTCTGGCTCGGGAACCATTTCTCAGGCCTCAGCTGATGCTGTTGGAAGAGGAGCTATAGAGCACGAGCTCCAGGAGAGCTGGGATTTTCCTGTTTTGTGTATGTCTGTTCCTGGAACATTCTTGACACACATTTCTAGGAACCCAGAAAATACCCATTGGATGGGTCTCAGGCCCTTTCTTCTGCAGAGACATCCTCGTTGAGGAAACCTCTATCACTCTGCCCTTGTACTTTGCTTGGGGCCATAATGTGGGATTGGATGGAGAGGAAGGGATCCTGGCTTTTCTCACTCAGCTTCTCTGGGGTCCTGGCTCCCCTCACCATGCTGCTGAGGAAGCTCCAGGGTGTCAGAGTGCAAGAGGGTGAGGAGAGGCTCTTGTAAGAAAACTTCTGACAAGGTCATGGGTGGCTGGGCTTCTGAGAGTCTGTAGTCACAGGACAAAGCAGGTGTGGTGGGGAGGCCGGCTGCATGAGGGAGAGGAAGTGAGAAGGAGGAAAGTACAGGCACAGTCTGCCATCTTCCATGGAGGCTGTATATGATCCAAAACAGATGTTTCTCCTCAACCCCACAAAACCTCTTACAGGCTCAGCTGTTCACTCGGGACAGGCCATGGTTCCCTCTTCCTCCCTGTTAGGCTATATAGCTTGTGAACTTCTCAAGTTCAAGGTCCTTTAGGCAAGAGGTGGTCTCCTAAAGCCAGGATGCCATTACTCTGTGTCAGAACCCCCAACCCCCACAGCATGTCCTTACTTGCTAGACAGGCAGGTAGGAAGGTCAGTGTCCTCCAAGGTCAGTCTTTCTGGTCAGGTCATGATACAAGCAATAAGTCCCCCACTGTGGAAGAGTGGGTTTTTTTGTGATCCTAGCCCTGGAGACAGGCCCCGGGCATTAATAACATAGCTTTGGGTCTCAGAACCAGCGTCATGGGTAGAGGCCAGAGACTGGGGCTAGAAGCAAGCAGGATGCTTACCACCTCCCCCAACTGTAGGACCAGCCCTCTTAGGCAGAGGGAGACTAGATGGCTATTTTCCTTCATGGTGGCCCAGAACAGTCACCTCAGAAGGAATGCAGGCATGGATGGGATTTTCTCTCCATGGTACATATTTTATAGCAAATGTGAAAACTAAATCTGGGTCCTGAAGCTTCTCTGTTCATTTTCAGCATGCAAAATCCTCTCCCCACCCCAGCCCCAATCTGCTGGCCTCTACACCAGCAGATTGTCCAACTCAGAGGTGCTCCATGATGGGAAGTTTTCCCTAGGGGCTCAAGTAGCGTCCTCAGCTTTCTTTTGCTGTGATGAAACACCTTGACCAAAAGCAACTTGAGGAGGAAAGTGTTGGTTCCAGATGTGTGGTTGTTTATCCAGGGAAGTCAGGCCAGCCACTCAAGGCAGGAGCTGATGCAGAGCTTATGAGGAGTGCTGCTTACTGTCCTGCTCTTCATGGCTTGGTTAACCTGCTTTCTTACAGTACCCAGGACCACCAGCCCAAGGATATCACTGACCACATGGGCTCTCGCATATCAGTCATTAATCAATGAAATGCCCCACAGGCTTTCCCACAGGCCAGGCAATTCTGGCCCATGTTGAATTGATATAAAACCAGCCAGCACAGGTTGGCTGGATTTTCCATCCCATTAGCTCTGTCTTGTAACCCAAAAAGCTCCCCAAGTGGGCAATATGCTTGGAACAGTTCTCTACCTTGCCTGGGCCCGGGAAGGACAGTCCTGATATTTTCATTGACTTTGTCCCACTGCCGACCATTGCCCTGCTCCTTGAGGGGTTTCCTCCTCTTTATACCCCCCTTTTTAGTAATTAACAGAGCCTAGAAGGGAATCCTGCCAACAGACGGCCAAAAGGCAGAGCAGACAGCTGTGGCGGTGCCAGCAAAGGACAGGCTATTAAAACAAAAATGATTCATCTTGGGAATGAGAGCAAATCGCTTTCCATTTATGGGAATTGGGG